GGGGGTGGGGGTGGGAAGGCAGTCAGGTTCCTGGGGTGCTCCTCAGGCTGAGCTCCAGGAGGCATGCTGTGGTACAGACCACCGGGTCCAGAGGTTACTTGTATGTACCTGGCGAGGCTGGGCCCAGCCAAGCCCATGGCTTTGAGGCACGGGTCCCCACGGCTCACTGTGCAGGAGGCCTCCACGCTGGCTCTCACGCTCATACCATGTCCCACGGCTTGGCTGTGTTTCAGAGCCGTTTAAGTTGCCGGAGGGAAGGATTAGATGTCTGGGACATTTTCATTTTCTGGATGGTGTCAAAGGCTGAGTGTTTTTTCCTGGCCTCTGAAGCAGAGAGGGTCCTGAAGACCAGCCATGGGAGGGCACTACCCTGTGCCCTATACATAGATGCATGGGCCACACATCAAATCACCTAGAAGCACTGGCTTTTCAGCTCCCAGACTCAGGGAATCTAGGTCCTTATAAGACTTTGGGATTCTAGGCATAGTCTCTTGGGGTGCAGGCTCTTGGCTGTGGCCAGGCCTCTCTGTCTGAGGTTTTCTCACAGCCCTTTTATTGAGGGCATAGATGGCTACAGTGGTATGTTACAGGTTTATCCATAGCCTGGAAGATAAAACCCTGGAAAGGCTTTGGTTGAGCCCACTTTTCAGCAGGGCAAATCGAGGCTCAGGGATGTGCAGGTGGCTCGCCTAAGCCCCGGAAACTGGGAAACAGTGACACATTTCCTTAACCTTTTAAACATCTTAAAGTAGGGACTGTTAACTTGCTGTGCTACCGATGCAGAAGTTGAGGTTCAAGACTGTGACTTATCCAAGCCCCGCCCTGCTGGCAATAGTGGGACTCCCAAGCAGTGAGGACAGGGACCCCACTGTGGGTTGGCACCTTTCCAGACACACGTCAGCAGCATGCAGACAGTAGATTTGTCTTCCATCTGTTCAAGGGTCCCGTGTAGCTCTGCTTTCCCATGAGAGGGTCTCAGGGCCCTAGATCCATGGCAGCATGTGTGAGGTCAGAACCATCCCATGGGGCCCAGTGAGGACTGGCACCAGGCCACATGTGCTTAGTCCAGCAGTCCAGTGTGGCACAAGGCACAAGCCAGCTGTCCAGGGCCAGGCTAGGGCCAGGGGCACAGTGGGTCCCCATTCAGGCTACCCCGCATCCTGCAGGAAAGGTGCTAGATCGGCCCTCACTTTATAGAAAAGGGCCAGAGACACACCCCATAGCCACTCATGGGACCAGGTAGCTGTGAAGTGCCTGTTCTCTGGGGACCTGGCACTGCAGAGACCCACCATGAAGCCCCCGTTAGGCAGTGGAGCCCTGTGTTGAGATCTTGCAGCTTATGGTAAGTCTTTTGGATTTTGGTTTAGCTTGAAAGTAGATTTCAGACAGGATCTGGGACTGTCTGGCAGACGGGGTGGTAAACAAGAGGAAGGTGCCTGTGTGTTTTACAGGTGTGGGGGGGGAGTCACAGACCGTATACCCTCAGACCCCTTCCTGCCCACAGTGGAGCGGTCTTTAGGGACCACCTCAGTGGTTGGTGTCTTTTTCTGGGCACCCCCATTCCAGCACTGTGCTCACTGTCCAAGAAGACGGTGGGATCTGACCTCACATCCTCCATCAGAAAGTCCTAGAGTGGGTGATGGCTGCTTACCCGGAACTCCTGGATCATATGAGGGGGAGGTGGTAGGCCTGAACTGCCTGACTTCAGAAGCCATCCTGTCCCCAGAGCCTCTACAACAAAACATTTCCCTTCAGATGACACCTTCTGGGCTATGTTCAGGCACTGGAGCTAGGGGTGTGTGGGATACTGTTCTTTGTTCGACGGAACCTTCCGGGCGTCACCTGGGCCTCAGTTGCCTCATTTGCTAAGTCTAGGAGTCCCTGGCAGCAAGGCTATGCTGATAACACCCACTAGAACACTGACATCGCTCAGCATCTCCTCACCCCTGACATTTGCTCACCCCGGGACTGCTGCCATCTTGGGACAGCCCCCAAGCTCAGGGCACACCTCCATCCTCCAGGGAGCTTCCCCACCCATCTCTCACCTGTCTCAGAAGAAACAAATTGTCAGGATAACATCCATTTTAAATCTGGAGCATGGGGATCACAGATGCCTGGCATAGAAGACTCTAAGCACAAAGGAAAAGATGGATCGATGACTCAGATTTATTAGTATATGCTCACAGGAAGAACTTCCAGGGAGGAAAGTGAGTCACAGGATGGGACTGGTGTCAGCACACAAATACAACAAAGGGAAGTCCCTCTGGATGTGTAAATGATACAAGCCAGGTGTGGCGGCATTTACTTTGGGCCTCAGCTACTTGGGTGGCTGAGGCAGGAGGATCACTTGAGCTGAGAAGTTTTAGGCCAACATGGGCAACACAGAGGGACCCTGTGCCCTAAAGAAGCAGAGTAAAGAAGAGAGGGACAAGTTCCGCACCCCCTCCCCCACAAAAGAGGGAAAGACTAATGACCTATAAACATATGGACATGAGTTCAGTTCCATTTGTCAACAGAGAAACACACATCTCAACCACAGCGAGCTGCAGCTTCACACTGGCTGAGCCTGAAAGGCTTAGGACTTAGTTAAGGAAACAGGGCCACGGGGACGTCCCTGCCCCTCCACTCTCACTCACGGAGCCTCTACTTCAAGGTCACACTGCTTTAAACCCTGAAGCACATTTTAGGACAGTTTCAACTATGGAAGAAGCACAATTTCCAGAGTCCTCGTGGAGCCTTTGCTTCTTACTACTGTCCCCCAGGAGTGCGGTGACAGTCTGTAGCTCTAAGAGTGGGTTTCATTATTGTCAGTTAGGTGTGAGTCTGCATCTGCGCAAGGCTCACGGAGGCCAACGGCATCGAGACCCCGAAGCTGCCTGCAGTGGGTGCTGGAAACTAAACCCAGGTCCTCTGAAAGAGTCGCGAGCACTCTCCATCCATGAGCATCCCTTGTCCTCAACACAGCGCTGTCATTAGCTGTGCGGTAGCTATGCCTGGAAGAATGAATCCCTTTTTGAAATGTTTATGGCTGGGGGTACAGCTCAGAAAAAATGCACATACCTGGGTGACACATATCTACACACCAAAAGAGTTTACCCTTGGGTGAGTGATTTGACTGGGTGGGTGAAGATGCGTGCTGTCAAGCTGATGGCTTGCTTCTGATTGGTCCCCAGGCCCCACATGGAGGAAACACAGAACCCACACCTGGAAGCTGTCCTTTGACCCCTACATGCACACCCTTGTACTAATGTGTTTCCACATACATGCAAATAAACATAAAAACATTTTTGGAAAAGCTTAACGTAGACTTTTATTCTTCATTAAGCACTTAAGCATTTTAGAATAACTGTCAAATGCTAGCAGGATTCTTGCATGAATTTTTTCCTTTTAGAAATTTTATGATTTTTAAAGTTGTATAATTTTCTGCTACCTTGAACATATTAGTTGGAAAAGGCAGCATTTTCATATTAATTCAATAAACAAATAATTACCAAGGACCTATTTTATGCTGAACATGGCCCTGGTCATTGGGCTCTAAGCTAAGACTAATTCATAATTCTTGCTTTTATGATGTATAAAATGGTTTTAGATGGCTTTATAATGTTAAGGTAACAGAATATTTTCAGGGATTGAGAGATGGTTTTGCAGTTAAGAGCACTAACTGCTTTTCCAAAGGATCTGGGTCCAATTCCCAGCACCCACATGACAGCTCAGAACCACCTATAACTTTAGTTCTAGGGGATCCAATGCCCTCTTCTGGCCTCCATGGGTACCAGGCATGCAAGTAGTGCACAAACATACATGCAAGCAAAACACCCATCCATATACATCATCATCATCATCATCATCATCATCATCATCATCATCATCATAAATAGGACCTTTCTGCTGATTTCGATGTCCTTTGCTTTCATATGTTCAGAAGTCTGCACAGACAACTTTCACCTTGTTAATTCTTCCACATATGTATGCTTATTTGAAAGACTTTTTATTTATTTTTTGGTTGGTCACCATCTATACAGAGAGGAGCACAGTTCATTTCTGATCATCATTTTATATCTGACACCCTTGCCACCTCTTTCTTTACTCTAACCATTTGTTGGTTCCTTTGATTTTTCTATGCAGATGATTATATACCAGGCCAAGAGTGGCAGCTTTGCCTCCCCCTTACCCATCTGTGCCTGCCTTTCCTTTGTCTTGTCTTACAGCATTGGTTTACATCTCCAGTGCACAGCGAGGGAATGGTGGTAGCTGGCCTCACCCTGACTTGCCCTTATCCCTAGGGTAAGGTTGGTACCCACAGAGGCTCCTAAGTTAAGGCATTTATTAAATGTAATTTCTGCAGTGGGTGAGAGGACTGTGGCTGTATATCCTTAGCTCATTAAGTAAATTGCCCAGGCCTCCTTCCCAGTACTGAACATTCTTGAATTTAAAACATTTATTTTTATGTATATGAGTGTTTTGTCTGCATGCATGTGTACGCATATTTGTGCCTGGTACCTGCAGAGGTCAGAAAGCACTGGATTCTCTGGAACTGGAGTTACGGATGGTCGTGAGCCACCATATGGATGCTGGGAACTGAACCTAGGTCTTCTACAGGAGCAGCCAGTGCTCCTGACTGCTGAGCAGCTATCCAACTTCCATTGGAAATGGTATTTAAAATTTATTTTATGTGTACGATTATATTGCTTGCAAGTATGTGTGTGTGCCACATATGTACCTGGTAACCTTGAGGGGTCACAAGAAGACATCAGATCCCATAGAAATAGACTCATGGGTGCTTGTGAATGACAGTGTGGGTGCTGAGAATAGACCTGGGTCTTCTGTAAAAGTAACAACTGTTCTGAACTGCTGCAGCACCTCTTCAGCTCCTCTTACATTCTTGAGATGATCTCTACTTGCCATAGTTAGTTTTGAGTATGCAGGAGAATTCAGCTGTATACAATATTTCATGGAAAATTTTGTACTCAGACTCCAGATCCAAACAGGCCTCTGATTTCTGTGTCGTTCCTTGTTTGGTTTAGAATCAATCTGAGATAAACCGAGCCGCCTCCTCCTTCCCCAGTGTTCTCAAGTCCGGCTGTGTCAGGAGAGCTGTTTCTCCAGCAGCCACTGCCACAGCCGCCTGAGCTCTCAACCACACGAGAAACAGTTCTTGGCTCATGTTTTCAGGGGTGTGCTGCTTTGAGTTTGCGCTAGACACCTCTACAGAAACACGAGGGAGGGCAGAGCCTCTCACCTCAAGAATGGGAGCACTTGGCAGTGACCCGAAGACCTCCTCCTACGCCTCATCTCGGAACAGACTGCCGCCTCCCAAGAATGTGACCCAGTGAGCAAGCCTGAAGGATGTGGGCATTTGGATGACACTCGGGACCTACACGGCAGCAGAAAGAGTGAGCTCAGCTTTCGGGACCTTGGTCTGTACTTTGAGGGTGTGGAAAGAGATCTTTAACAAGTGTTTATTTTTCTTATATTTATTTGAATTTCTTGTGTGTGTGTGTGTGTGTGTGTGTGTGTGTGTGTGTGTGAGAGAGAGAGAGAGAGAGAGAGAGAGAGAGAGAGAGAGAAAGAATATGTGTACATCTGGGCAGACGCCCTTAATGACCAGAAGCATGTGTCAAATCCCCTGGAAATGGAGTTACACGTAGTTGTGAGCTGACATGGCTATTGAGGACCAAACTCAGGTTTTCTGCAAGAGATTAGGTGCTCTTAACCTCTAAGTCATCTCTCCAGCCTCATGTTTATTTTTCCTTTATTATTTTTAATATTACTTGTGGTACTGGAGTTTTATTATTATTATTATTACTATTACTGTTGTACTGGAGGTTGGACCCATGGCCTCACCCATACTAGGCAAGCACTCTCACTGACTTACATCCTCAGCTCCAGTGCTTTAAAGATTTTTTTTTGTGTGTGTATGTGTATACATGAGTGTGTGTCTGTGTGTGTGTGTACGCACGCGTGTGCGTGTGTGCATGTGTCTGCGTGGAGGTATGTGTGCACATGGGTGTGCCCATACAGGAACCTGAAGAGGCTTAGCTCCCTTGGAGCTGGAGCTACGGCATTAGCTCCCTTGGAGCTGGAGCTACAGGTGACTGTGAGATACTTACGCAGGTGCCTCCTCCTGTTCATTTTTTTGAGACAAGGTCTCACCAAATACCCCAAGCAGTCTAGAAATTACTATAGCTCAGGTTGGTTTCAAACTCTTGAATCTCCTGCCTTGGTCCTCTTGCTTGGATCTTGTTATGAGAGGAGACGTCTGGGGCAGAGGAAATCTGTTCGCCTCACAAGAACCAAAAAATCGGAAGAGATGGCAGGGGGGTGGGGGGTGGGGGAGTAGGGGAGAATGGGAGGCTCAGTTTCCTCAGGGGCACATCCCTGATGACCTTGCTTCCTCTGACTTCCTGAAGGTCCTACATAGGCTGTCAACCAAGGCTTCCGAGGGCTTGGAAGATCCAAACCACAACGCTGGGGAAGGGCTGCAAGCCTGGCTTTAGACATTCATCTGAACTGCAGATGAGCTTACCTGGAGGGGGGCACTCTGGGAGGACTCCTGGGACTCTGCCCCCCTCTGCAGAGGTTCTTTTTGATCTCCTGGGGTGGGTCTGGTGCAGGAGTTTGAGGGGCTCTCAAGACTCCCAGAGGTGGCTAGGGTTGAATGTCTCATGACCCCGCCTATGGACAAGGAGAGTGGGAGATGGGCACACGTCTTAGGCCGTTTAACTTGTGCAGATTCTCAGTCAGGAGGTCCAGAACTTCAGAACCCTCTAGGTCTCTGGCCCAGTCCTACCATTCCCAAGGGCTGCTGTCTGGCCACAGCTCCTGAGCCTGACGTGTGGGAGCGGGGAAGTGGGAGCATCAGGTCCAGCCTGGGAAGGTTGCTGGTTGATGCCCTTCTTCCACAGCTCTATGTTTTCCCACACTCTGCAAGACTAAGAGTTTCCACCCAGAGCTAAGCAGGAAATAACAGAGCCAGACACCGAGTCCCTAGGAGGCTTAGGTTAGGTTCTGTGGTACATTAGCCTTCTGTTGTCTTTTTCCCTAGAACCTGCTTCCAGGAGTGTCTGCAGCCAAGGCCAGTCACCACTACCACCACCAAAGCCTGCCAAGCCTGGCAAGCCTGGAGCCAAGCCTATGCCAGGGCAAACCTGTCAAGGTCCATCTCTGGTTTCTTTGGGACACATGGCACTGCTGGAGTCCATCTCTTCCTGACTTCTCACATCTCTTTACCGGTACTATTGGCCCCGTCCACTCCGGTAGCAGGGGAGGAAGTGATCAACTGGGGATGGCCCCCTCCTCGTGGGACACACCGCTGAATGAGAGCATCCAGTGGTTGCAGTTCAGTGATATGTGGGTACTTATGGTAGGCTCAGGTGGCTGGGGACGGAGAATCAATACCTTTGCTGTAGATGGGGCAAGGATGAAGTGCATTCATGGTAGAATGCATTCTTGGTAGAAGGAACAGACTAGGCAAAGACAAGGAGGCATCTCAGACAGGTGGGGAGTTGCAGGTCACTTAGCATGGCTATCAGCAGAAGCAAGTTGGATCTGGGACTCTGGAGGACGCTGGCTTCCTTCTTAGGGTATAGTGAGAGTGGAGGGTCCTGCTGGGGTGGCTGCACTCCAGGGAGGGGTTAGGCCGCCAGTGCTGAGGCCAGAGAAGGAGCAAATTGGCTTTAGATAAGGATTGCCCCCCAGCTGACCTTCCGGGCCCTGGGACTCTGGATTTGGGATGAGATTGGGGCTTCAGCCGTTTCTGAGCTGAGACTGTAAGGGAGGCCATGGCAGTTTTCGGTTGCTACGCTAACACATTGGAGAAGCTCTGCTTTAATGCACAGCGGTCTGTCGACCCTCAGAGGTTTCAGGTTATGGTCTTCGGCTCTGTTGCTTTGGGCTGAAGGGACTGAGGAGCCAGGAAGCAGGGAGGAGATGGGGAAGAGGGGGACAGGACACATACCAAGGGGCCCCACGGGTGGAGTCCCGTCAATTGGGTGTCACTCCCTTCCGACTGCCTCTAATGGCCCACCAGATTATAAGCACACAGGCAGCCACTGCTACTGTCAAAGCCTGATGACCTAAGCCCTTCTGAGAAGCCTGTTAATCAGCAACTATGACTTTATCACTTGGCCTTTGGAAGACATTTGAAATCCAAATTATAACCATGCTTATCTGCTTGTGGGTGTCATGTACACTATTGTGGGGGGGGCTTCCAGGTACCTTGGTGGTGACTGATGAGGCCCATCAGTGGTGGCTTGGGCTCCCACAGTAAGCTCTTGGCTTGGGCACCTCACCAACTTTGATCTAGGTTGGAGGGCATGGGTAAACATGGGCATACAGGCCCTGGGCACCGGGGCTCATTCTGTCTTTCCCAAGTAGTGCAGAGGACTCCTATTTGTATTTACTTCCCAGGCATTTCAGATATAGGGCACAGGAAGGGCTTTGTGCTCTGCAGCTAACCGGCTAACTGTCCAGACCCGAGCCTCCACGTCACTCAGCCTCTGCCACGTGCTCGACACGCTTGCCCTCGCTCCACCATCTTCCCGAGGGAGCTCCCGAGGGAGGGAAACCTGCCTCTGCCAGATGAGTGCTGTTGGGACCAGATGAAGGAAGCCACAGAGTCAGAACCAGAACTCAGACCTGGTTCCCCTCAAAGATGTGGGGGATGGACTCAAGACAGGAGGCTGGGTTTGGGGAGTGGAGCGTACAGGTATAGAGGTACCCCTAAGTCTTGGAGAGCCCAGGAGTCAGGCTGTGGGGCAGATCCTAGAGAAGCAGAAGTCACAGCCAGGAGATGGGGCGGCAGAGCACTGCTAATGACCTCACAAGGAACCTCAAATGTGTGTGCGACCCTCAGCTGTCTCTGCAGGTGGCATCCTGCGCAGGTGAGCAGTTAGGACAGGCCCAAATCAAGGAAGATGTATTCCAACACTCTGATACCAGCCCTGAGGCCCAGAGAGAAGATGCAGTGGCAGATCAAAGAGCCCTCTGCAGTCTTCTGGGGCCTTGTGTCCACAGTAACAGATTTCTCTCAGAAGCTTCCCACGGTCAAGGATGTCTGCGGTCCTGAAACCCTCAAGTCACCTTCAGCTCTTTTTAGAAATCTGAAAAGCGAAGGGAGTGACCACCTGGCCCTCGGGAGCCTAGAAATCAGGAGGGATAGCTTGCAGCTGGGCAGAGGCCTCCCCTGAGGGACACTGACCTCTGCTGGCTTTAAAAATAACAGCAAACTGGGGAAAAGAGGTTAAAACAAACATTTATTTAACAAATTATATTAAGAATACAATCACACAGTGAAACCTCCCTTTGCCAAGCAGTCACCTTGAATAAATACACAGGAAGGCAGCTATGCCTAGGTCCTTGTCCCAGCGCCACACAGTGGCCCAGCAGCTAACGTGTATTTGAAGGGCAACAGAGCCTGGACTTGTGCTGATGCTGCAGCTGCTCTGCTGGGCCGCCCTGATGTGCTGCATCCCCTGAGAGGGAGCCGGGCGCAGGAATGAGGGCCCAGGTTCTTCATCAGGCTCCGGGGTCAGGAGGATGCAAACGAACTTCGTGAGCCCAGCACTTCACGGCCTGGCCTTTCCAATGAATGCAGCAGGAGAGATGCTCACGGTCACAGGAGGCACAGGGCAGGCTCCCAGCCTGACCCATGCCCAGAACCCAGTACCATGGTGAGGTGACTTCCTAGCAATCGCAAGTCCATCACAGGGATGGGCACCAAGGCCAGGTGGTTGTCCCCAAGGCCTTCTGCCTCAGGCTTTTCAAGTGACGGGGTAAAGAGCACCCAATGCTGGGCTTGTTTGGGGGAATGGCAGGAAATGTGCTTAAGATTGCCAAGGCAGTGCCCAGGGCAGGGAGGGGTGTGCTCAGTATCCCGGGCCCCATATGTGTGTCCTTCTGACATGGGCTTCGGCTCCTTCCTGCAGATTGACCACAGCTGCAGGTGGCCACCCAGGAAGAACACTCACGGCTCTGACCTATCATTTTCTAGAGGTGAGTAGGGCTGGCATGTATTCTTTATGATAAATTTGTAAGTGAGCCTGGAGTCACCCTGCCCCGCTTACACCCGTGTGCCATTTTTCCAAGGCCCTTAGGAGGAGCCAACTTTTCAGTGTGGGGTGATGGGGGTGAGGTGCTGTGCTCTGGTTAGCCTTTTTGAGAGAGATGTGTGCTTGGCAGGAACAGCAGCAGTTGTGGACATGCTGGTGGGGGAGGAGGAGACCCAAGGGAGCGGCTGCCGTTCTTCGCGTCTCCCAGCAAGTCTGTGTGCTCATCTCGCAGTGGCCAGGGGTGCTGCAGCCAAGTGTTCCACACCACACACAAAAGGCCGCTCAGCTCTGCTGGGAGCCACAGCCCCACCTCCCAGGTCTGGGATGTGCCAGGTCCACACAAGGTGGACACAGGCACGCATACCCCACTACTACCACTGCCAAAGACAAGAAACCAGGGCTTGGTGCAACCTAAAACCTACCACAGACACCAAGTTGTTCTCAAGACTTCAGAAGCTAGAAGCCATGGACGCTACAACATTCACAGAAAGGCTATTCTGACACTAAGTCTGCAGTGTCCCGAGATTGCGCAAGCTCGACCATGTGCTGGCCCTCTTCCCAGTGGCTGAGTCCCGTGCATGAGTGGGCTGCAGAGCCCTGCCCTTTCTGCAGGGACCTCTTCACTCGGCCTTTCTGATCCCTGACAAAGGGTCTACTGTCTTCACCTTTGACCTTCCAGGCTGTCAGTGTGGCAGGAAGCCACATTCTCCATTACGGGAAGTGGGGAGGGTCACCTGACATCACCTGATGGGGACCATGTCACAGCCGCGGAATGGGAAGAGGTGGTAAGACAATGTGCACAAGCTTAAAGAAGTGGCCAGCAGACCCTCGGGCTTTGTCCTGCAGCCTTCCAAGGTAACTCAGACCATGAGTGGCTGCCCCATTTCTGTTGGCCCTCAGGCCACACAAGACATTTGGTGTTACACCAGCAGCAGTAGACACAGGTCCTCAGGGTCCCCAGCTTGTGTAGTCAGCTGGGGGACAGTTCATCAGCTCTGTTGAGCACCAGTGTGGCACTAGGTCTGACTCCATGTGCCTCTGGGGCACAGGCAGATGAGTTAACCACCCCTTCATGGCCTGTGCTGCCTGGAGGCTGAGGGGCCCAGAGGCAGGGGGATGATGGGTACACACATGGAAATGAAGTACCATCAAGTGGAGAAGGCTGAGGAGGGAGGGAGGGCCACAGGCCCTGAGGAGCTGGAGCTGAGGGGCTGATGGAGGCTGGTGAGGTATTTTCGGCCCTGCCCTGGCTCACGCCATCTTGTTGGCTGGTTCTTGCTCCTGATCCTCTTGCACCTTGGCCACTCAGCTGCCTGCGACTGTCTCTGGAGCTGTAACTGGAGAGCTAAGTGTGGAGTTGCCTATGGCTACTGGCCACTGTGCATACCTTCATATCCACAGACACTGTGGGGACCAATGCCAGACAAACCCCAATAGCCAATTATGGCAAAGCAGCGCATCATGGTGAGAGTTGAGAGCTGGGGCAGCAGTGACCACTGTTTCATGGCAACGAATGTAGAGTTGAACTTGGCACCTCAGATGGACACCTGTGAATTGCTCTAGCCCAAATTCAGATGTCTGGAACAGACGGTCTTTTCAAAATAGCAGATCCCTGGAAGGAGATGCCTTCTAGACTGTGAGTGGGCTGGCTGAGAGGAGGAGGTGCCCTTGTACTGTGTCCTTGCAGGGCTGGGTACCATGCCTCTCAGAGCATGCTCTGTGTCAGTCACCACCAGGTCAGGGCACCAGGCAGAGGCATATGGAGCTGTTGCTGGCAGGTGAATGCTCTACAGATGAGCCCTTTGTGAGGGTTGGAGCTTGTGGCCAGGCACAGCACCCTAGCAGCCAAGTATCCATCCAGGTAGGCACCCAGTCACCTCCACAGACAGCGGGGTCCCATCTGTGCTCTCTGGAATCCAGTGTGTGCATTGGGGAAAGAGTCCACAGGTGTCTGGAGTGAAGCAGGGTCCTATTTTCTCAATGCCATCATGAAGTACAGGGCCTACTTGAGCCTGCTGACCACATAGCCTGGCTCAGAGATGATGGGTGCATCTCACATGATCCTGTGTGAAGCAGTCAACCCTGGAGCCTTCCAGGAGGGAGACAGTGGCTCTGTGGGATTCTTGTAGTGGGTGATGGTCAGTCGAAAGGAGTCAGTGGGCATCACTGGGCCGCTGGAGCATGCGCCTGGGCCCTCAAGGGTGACTCCAGGTAGGGAAGAATTTTCCTTTCTTTGTGGGGTTAGTGGTTATCACACAGGTGTGCTAGGAGCCTCTGGTCACTGACAGCACATACATTAGTCACAATTATGAACAACGTTCCCAAGGGAGGCAGGGGAGTCTCGTCAGGCAAGCTGATGACCATATATGACCATGCAGCTGCCCAGAGTCTCTTGGTCAGTGGGGAGGGCAAGCAGAATGGGCAGGTGGGGGAGGCAGTAACTCTCACCCCAGCCACCCCATCAGTAGTCTGGGCACCGGGTAGGAGACGTCTTCTCCCCCAGGAGGCTGTGGGCTCCTCAGGACTGGGGAATCTGCTGGCACCGGGTCGGGCTGGGCGGGAGCCGTGCTGCTGCGCTCTGCTCTGTGCGGAAGCTGTACTCATACTGCAGGAGGAAGGAACGAGAGGCACAGTCAGGCCAGAGGGGGATATGTCACCATGCATGAGTGTGTGTGCATGCGTGTGCATGTGTGTGTGCCAGGCTCAGAAGGGGCCGTGGGTAGGAGCCTTCACAGTCTCTGCCTCTGCGGGGTGAGACTTTGGCACTGGCAGTGCGCACATCTGGTGCCACTGGCAAGCTCCCATGAGCACCTTGTGCTGAAAGGCTGAAAGGCAAGTACCTTCCTGCTCATACCTCAAGGAGGGGCCACTGCAGGCTGTGGGGACAGACCTGTGAGTGGACTCCATGACTGACCAGAGGCCTTCCTCGGCCCCCAGGTCCTGGGACTCCTCGCCACCAGGCATACTGTGCATTGCCCAGGACAGCACCTTTGTTGCTGGCAGCTGCTGGGGGGTGGGGTATGCCCATCCCTGGTAGCAAGCAGTTTCCACCAAATATCTGGTGGCTATGAAGAGCACATTAGAGCAGCCCACAGCGTTCCCCTTCCCAACTTTCCTACCCTCTA